GGGAGCTCCCCTCTTGAGCCTGGTCTTGTCTGGCAGAAATGTCACATACCAACGTTAAGTCATTGGAAATTTTCTGGCAGCCACATTAAACAAAGTAAAAACAAACAGGTAAAATTAATTGTAATCATAACAATTATTTAACTCCTTATATCCAAAATGTTATTTCAACCTGTAATTAATACAAAAATTCCTAATAAGAAATTCACATTCTTTACCCTTGTACTCAATCTTCTAAAGCTGGTGTGTGTTCCACACAGCGCATCCTATTGAGACCAGCCATATTTCACAGGCTTGATGGCCATACAGGACCATGCTCCTGGACTGGACAGCCCAGGCCTGCCCAGACTCCTTGGCCTTTCATCTCTTCAAGCTGCCAAAAATCCCTCAACACAGGTCTCTGTTCACAAAATTTCTGTGGCTCCTATGCTACTTTAAGCTTCGTTTCTGTTTATGTATTTAAAAGAGAAAATACAAATATTTAATAGGGAGTTAAACAACACCAAGAAATGCTTCCCACCCTGCCAGCAGGCTTATCTCCTACTCTGGAGAGTCCGAACTGGAAAGGCCTGATCCCCAGCCACTGGGGGCCTGGGACAGCCTGAGATAATGACTTAATTAACGCCTGCACCGGGCACTTTTGATCTTCAAGGGCCCTAGCCACAGGGCTGAGGCTGTTTATGGATTAATTGCCTAGAACGAAGAAAGCCTTGCCCAGAGATAAAGGGAAATGTGGTGTTTCATCATTACAAATTGTTCTGAAATCAGCTCTGGCACTGGGGCAGAGGCCTGGATTTTGGGTGCTCAGTTGACTCCCACCTGCTCATCCCAGGGATGGGCAGCTGGCCAGTAGCACCCTTGCTGGGGGGTATCACAGCCCCTGGAGGTGTGTGTTGCTACTGCTTTTCCTGGGGGGGTGGGAGGCTTACTGACTGGAGAGTGGTGTGGTTACTTGCTTCCTGTGGCATGGAGAAACGGGAATCTAATGGACCTGGAGAAGTTTACAGACAAATCACACCAGCAAGGCCAAAGTCAAGGAATGGAGAGCAGAGGGAAGTGGGATGCTTCCTCCCCTACACCTTCAGACTTGGTGTCTTATTGCCAGGTAGCCACATCATCCTTCATAATCCTGCCTACAGACCCACTGTATAAATGCCTGAACAATTCAGATTTTGTGTGTTTACAGAGATTGCACAGAGGAACCCATGGGACCACAATCCCACTGCCTATGCTCTGGGCAAATGGCTTCACTTTCTCCTCATTAAATGGGAGGCAGTATATTTCTGCATCTAGAACTTAGCCCCGCACAATCCTAGTGCTCAGTACATGTAGTCAATTACTACTAATAATAAATAATAACGACAGCAAAAATGAGCATCTGCTGGTGCCAAGCCCAGCACAGGTACTGGCTGTGCAGTAGTGAGTGGGAAGGGGTGAGGATGAGGGTGACACGCTGGCCTGCAAGTGCCAAGGGCTGGGCTCCAAGTCCAGCTGCCACCCACTCTACCCAAGGCCCCTCCTCCCCAGCCTTTCCTTGGGTGTCTGGGCTCTTGGCTGTGGCAGGAGAGAACAGGCAAGGAGCAGACATCGGCCAGTCACCCCAACTGTATGACAGCCTCCCTCTCTTGGCCTATTTGGAGAACTTGACTCAGCTTAATTACTGACCGGACAGCTGGCACGTTGGGGCGCGCCGCGGGGGGACGCCCGGGATAGGCCGGAAGTACTGGCTCCGGGGGCGACCGGACATCCCTAGACCGCCAGGTGCGCTTTCACCTCCCACCAGCAGCACCTCCCTCCCTCCCTTCAGCGCCCCCTTCGTCCGCCAGGGGCCCAGTGGCTGAGTGATCTCCGGGCGCCCACAGCCACCCCGTAGCCTGGGGTGGAATTGTTTCGGGGCGCATCTACCTCCCTCAGGGAACCAGGAGTCGGTCCCGGGTGAGCCTCTGTCTTCTGGGCCTGGGCGGGGATGCCCCGCGGAGCCTGGAACGCCGCGCCCACGCGATCGGGCAGCGGCTGCCCACGCCTCCTCCGACACCAAAGTATATTTAGCCTCATTATCAAATGTTTGCAGTGAACCGTGTGAACCGCCTAATAGCGGCTGGAAGTGAAACTCGATTCCGGGCCAGAAAGGAGCATGTGACCACTCCCCCCAGCCGCAGGGCGGGCGGGGCAGGTGCTGCGGCCTCCGAGCGCACAACACTGAGGGCCTGGCCTCTACTCGCACCATCTCCACTTGGCTGAGTCCCCGAAACCCACCTCCTCACGAAGCCCCCTTCTCCTGGAGCTGAAATGAGGAGGCCTGGAGTCTGAATAGGCCGGGTTAATAGAGGAATGAAGGTCCGGAGGAAGATCCACACAGGCGTGGGTTCTCATTCAAGTGGGTGACCTATTAGTTAAGCAGCTTCCACGGCCACCGTGTCCAGTCCTTGGAGAAAACCTCTAGGGATTTAAGTCTTCCTGTTTCTTTCCAGGATCCCGAGGAGGGTGGGGCGGGCAGGGCAGGGGTAGTTGTCTCATGCTGGGTGGACTTCAGGTCTCTAGGGCTCGCCGTGCCCCGCATCTTCCTCAAAGGCGGCTGTCGCGCGGCTGCACAAGTTTTTGCCTCCCTCGCGCGGCCGCTGTTGTTGTGGTCGTCATGACGACGGATCGAGGTTTTATTTTTAATAGCGGCCGGCGATTAGAGAGATGCCTGCGCTGCTTTCGCTGAAGCTCTGGCGTCCAGGGGGTGATGCACCCAGACAGAGCTCCATTCCCAGCCTCCTTCCTGTCGGAGACTCGATGGAAGGCACCTTCTTCCGCGTCCCTAGATCTTGTCTCCTGTCACTAAACTATCGCGGGGTGCCACTGTAGCGCTAGGCCAGGAGGAACGCGGAGGGAGGAACGTTCACTAGGCCCTCAGAGGTGGCGGGGACCCCCACGAACCCGCGAGCTTGGATGTGGGAGTTGAGGCTGGGAGGCCCAGGTACCCCACCTGCAATACCACTGTGATTTTCCTTCCGAAGTCCACACTCACTGTCACATCGAGTGCTCTACCCTAACCCTAAAGAGGTGTCCTTGGGCCCTTCTGCCCTCGAGAAGTCTGAGGCTCGGCTGGACACGATGTGCACAACACCCAGGAAAAGTAGGTGAGGAATCGGACCCGGGCCCTGGCCGTGGCTGTTCCGCTGCCTTCCAGAAACAATCCAGCGGGTCTCCCTCTCCAAAACAAGAGAAGGTTCTACTTGGGCGGACAAGGCCAGGTTTTCGGGTGCTTCTTAACGTTTCCCAAGTTTCCCTTGTTCTGTCTCGGGCCTTCCTCCTGACCACTGGAGAGTGCTCCTGACCGCCGGGGGCGCCCGGCGGGGCTGGGGCCCGGGTGAGGGAGGAACGTGGGGAAGGAGGGGGCCACAGGTGTTTGGAGGTGTAGGAGGGCGTGGGTGGATGGGACCCACTAAGGGCAGCAGGCGAGGCCCCGCCCTCCAGGAATTTGGGGGTAGGCGAGCGCCCCTAAGCACACTCCGGACTCGGCCTTTGAAATGCTGGAGCCGGCGGAGCAGGGGATGAAAGACCGCCTGCGGGGCGAGCCTTTACTGCCTTTGTCTGGCGGGAGGGCAGCAGCGGCGGGGGCGGGGGCTTAATCCACAGGATGGGGGCGGGTGATGGCTGGAGCGGGTAGAATTCTCCTCGGCCGCCCACGCACCCACGCATGCGTCTCGTAGGCTTCAGGGGCCTAGGCGGTATAGCTTTGGGGTCCGCATGGCCCACCACCCCGGTTGCAGGGCATGCACACACTGTGGAGAAAGCACTCTGTTGCGCATATGGACCCGCAATCGGGGTCCCATCCCACTTGTAGGCGGAAGCCACCCGTGCGGGCGCACTGCCCTTTCGCGGCGTGGGAGCTGTCTAGCCGCGCTCAGACCTTGGCCTCTGCGCACACAGCTCCCCCGCATCGGCTCTGCGCTGCGCCTTGGCCGGAGGTGGCGCTCTGTGTACCCCGCGGATTCAGACGCGGGAAGCTCCGAACTTGGGGGTTCCTCACGTGCGGCTTCTTTTTCCTCGTTCCCTTCCACCCCTTTGAGGTCCCGGCTCAAGCCTCGGGCCGACCACCCTGGAGGAAGTGCACACTTGGGAAGCTTGGGGTCCCAGGGTGGGGGTTAGGCAGGCAGCAGCCCCTTCCCTGGACCTGGGATCCCTCGCCTGTCGAAATGTGGGTGGAGGCTCCTCATTCAGATGCCCCAGGCTTCGGATCTTGGGCGGTAGCCGCCAGGTGAGTGCCCCAGACGCGCCCCTAAACCAGCCCCACCTCTCCCGAATGACTGACTTCTCCTCCTTTTATGGAGAGGGTAAAGTAGGGGCCTTGGATCCAAACGTAGGAAGGCGATCGCCGGGGCGGGGGTTGGGGGCCGGCTCTCTGGCCCTTTTTGGCGCAGCAGCTCTCGGCGCTGCCCTCTGCAGCCGCTGGGGCCCGAAAGAAACGAGCCGGCCACGGCGGCGCTTCTGCGGCGGCCTCCTCCCCTCCCCCGGTGCCGCAGGATTGCAGCTGGCACTGGAGGGTGGGCAAGCTCGAGGGAGGGGCGCGCGGGAGCCCCGGCGCCTGTGCTCAGAGCCCGGCGCGGGTCTTTGATGGATTTAGCTGCCTGCCTCAGCGCGTGTGTGCTCTCTGTGGCGGTGGTTGGCGTCTGGGCCCTGCCGGGCCGGCGCGACCCTAGAGCGCTTCCGAGGTTCGGGTCCTGGGCCCGGAATCCGGGGGAGGCGGGGGGAGGGGCGGGGGAGGGGCGCGGCAGCCGCGCTATAACCCCCCCCCCGAGGCTGGCCGGCTCCACACACGCGCCCCGCGGAACCCACACAACTCCAACAAGCCAGGCCTGTCTGCTCTCCTCCTCTCTACTGGCAGCAGCTGCGGCAGCGGCGCCGGCTCGGCCCTGCGCCCGCCCTCAGGCCCGCGCGGGCAGCAGCTGCCAGGCGGGCGAGGCCCCGGGCGCTGCCGGGCCCGGGCTGGTGGAGGGCGGAGCACGGCGCTGGAGCCGAGGGCGCGCCGTGGAGGGGCGCACGCAGGCCGCCGAGCCTCTCAGGGCTGGGCCGCACTGTGCCCGGCCAGTAGGCAGCTGCGAGAGGAGGCCGGAGGCGAGAGCGAGCCCGGCGGTGGGTGCGCAGGGCAGTCTGCAGCCTGCAGCTCGCAGGGAGATCGCAAGCCCGCAGCAGAGGCCGGGCCGGGCGTCCAGACAGGTGATCGGTAGTGCGGCGGCTGCGGCTCCAACAGCTCCAGCCTTGCTCTGGAGTCCCTCTTGGGGCTGATGCCCGCAAATATGCAGAATTATCGGCCGAGGCGCTCCTAAAGCCAGCGCTGAGGAGCGAGCGCGGCGGCGGCCAGCACCGAGAACGCACCAAGGAAGAAGCCCAACCCCCGCCCTCCGCCCCTTCCGTCCCCACCCTCTACCCGGCGGCCCGGGAGGCTCCCGGCGCTGCGGGCGCGCACTCCCTGTTTCTCCTCCTCTTCGCTGGCGCTGTCTGCCTCTCTCCGCACTCACGCTCGCGCCGGGCGCGCTCCGCCGGCTCCCTGTTCCCCGCGCCACCCTCCGGGCCGCGCTCCCTGAGGGATGGTACTGAATTTCGCCGCCACAGGAGCCCGGCTGGAGCGCCCGCCCCGCGGCCTCGCCTCCCCGCCGAGCCGCCCGCGCCTCGGGACGCGATGAGGACCTGGGCTTGCTTGCTGCTCCTCGGCTGCGGTTACCTCGCCCATGTCCTGGCCGAGGTTGGTGCCGCCCCCGCGCCCTGTCCCCCTCCAATTCCCCCGGCTCACGCCTTCCGTGGCCGCCCGCTGCCTGGGGTTCCCTGAGATGTGCGGAGAGCATTTTAATTTCTCTGGTTGGGTGGATTTTTAAAATTTCTGAAGTAGGTTCTATTTTCTGCCATGCTAAGTGTGTCTGGTGAGTTTCCAGTATGTTGCGTCGCTCTGCCTTGGAGGGAATGAAGATCGGCGAGGTGGACGAGTGGGGAGAAACTTCGCGGGGCGCGGACGCCTTTCCGGGAGGGGTAGCTGGGGCACGGCGGGTAATGCAGTAGCGGGGAGCGGGGAAGGGGGTGTGTATGAGCTGGCGGAGCCCAGGGAGGTGAGGAAGGCAGCGGGCAAACAGGTAGAGATGGCTGCGACGGAAGCCCCGGCCGGGAAGGGTGGGCAGTGCCTATAACGCAGCCCCCGGGTTCCAGGTCCCCAAGCTTGGCCGGGTGCAGAGCCCGGGCAGTCCCGCCCGCCCGGGGCCTGCTTACAGGTGGCTGAGCTAGGCGAGCTGGGGCCGGGCCAGGCGCCAGCGCCCTCCCACCTTGCCGTCCCCCCCCGCCCCTCAATCCTGAGTCCCCGGGAGCTATGCTCTGATGAATGAGTTTCTGCAGCCCCCGTCGTGGGAACTTGGTGCTAGAGGCTCCTCCAGCGACCCCCGACTCCCTTAAAAAATCCGGAGGTCCGGAGGAGAGTGAGGGGCCAGAGTGAGGGTGGTGGTGGGGGCGCAGAGGGTTGATATTAACCCTCGCTTTCCCTGGTAGCCTTTTACAGCTGCGGGTGGGTTCGGGTGTCTCAGTCGGCGCTAGGGCCGCGGCTGGGCCGAGCCCGGGGTGGGGCGAGTGTGTGAGTGAGTGTGTGTGTGTGTGTGTGTGTGCGCGCGCGTTTGTGAGACGTAGAGACCTCCTCTCCGCGGGTTCACTCGGGATTCCGGGGCGTGAAATTTAAGCCTCTGGCTAGATTAAAGTGTTAGGGCTGCTAGGACTTTCGTCGTCGATCCGTGACGCATTTCAACTTGGTCTTTCAAGATGTTGATCTCACTATTAAATCAGAAATTCCCCGGCCCCCTCACCGCCCCCAGACCTTCTGTAACTGACACCCGGGCTGAGGGGCCAGTGTGCGGGGGCTTTTGTTTGAAAATTTAAAGGTGAGGGGGGACTTTAATTTTCCAAAGGGCAGACACGGATGAGTCGGAAAATTTGGGGTCGGCGTGGGCTGGTGTGGGGGCTGCGGCTAGCCCTTCCGGGGCCGCCTCGGCCCAGGGAAGAGGAACACTCGGCGGCCCGGGGTGCGAGCCGGTGGGGCCGGGGCCGCGGGTGCTGACCGTGTGGCCTCTGCTTGCAGGAGGCCGAGATCCCCCGCGAGGTGATTGAGAGGCTGGCGCACAGTCAGATCCACAGCATCCGGGACCTCCAGCGACTCCTGGAGATAGACTCCGTAGGTAAATCGCGCCCCTTCTTCTAGTGTGCGGGGAGGGCGCGGGCGGGCGGGGAGTCTGTGCTCCCCGCGCCTCCTCCTGTGCTCGAGCCAGGCCCGGGCGCCGCGCAGGAGCGCACCGAAAGGTCAGAATCCAATCCTCGGCCATAAACGCCCAGGCGGATGAGTCAGGAGTTTCTCTTCCAATCGCCACTTTCTCTCTCAGCAGCGGCCGAGCGCTGCTCACTAGCCCAGGGATTGTTTTCGCATTTAAGGAAAATGCCGCGTGTGTCACAGAAAGTTCAGCCGCATAGAGGGCGCCGGCGCCCCAGCCAGGTGTGCCGGCCTCGCGCCTGCCCAGGGGCCCAAGGAGCTGCGGGAGCCGGCCCAGGCCCTGGGCACAGAGCCTTGGCTGGAGAGCCGGACGACAGTCCGCGAAGGAGGACCCAGGGGGCAGGAACGGCTCCTGGTCCACCGGCACCGGCCGCCCAAGGGAGGAGCTGCCTGTTGGCCAGGCCTTTGTGATGGGGAGCCGGTGCCTTGTTGCCCCAGGGCTGACAGGCTCTGGTCTTTCTCCTTTCACGACTCAATAAAAAGGCACAACTTGCACACATCTGCTGGTTAGGGTCTATTTGGGGACTCACCCTCTGGGGCTGGAGCCTGGCCACTTCAGGAAACAGTTTATTTGTAAGGGAGAGTTTCAAAGTGGGTATCAGCTGCAGAGTTGGACTAGACTGGGTCAGCAAGAGTTAAAGAGATTTCTCACTATCCAGGGACCTAGGTTGACTGTGGGTGGGGAGAGTGGCGGTGGGCTTGGGTGGCTTCCCGCCAATCTCTTCTCTGCAAGGGCTGGAGAGAGCCCCTTCTTAGAAGCTGAGTCCTTGCTCCCATCTTGGTGGTGCCCTTTTCAAAATTAACACTTGGCCCCATGACTTCAACATGGGAGTTAGCTTAGGGAAGTGCTCATGTGGGAAACCTTGTCCATGGCTTTAAAAAAGGCCTAAGATGAACTTGTTGAAAAGAGTAACCAAAGGCAGTAGAATTGGAAGAATTTTAAGTGAAATGAAGGTTTTTCTCTCCCTGCAAACTACTCTGAAAACGGGGGTGGGGGGGGGGGGGGGTGGTGGAATTAAGTAAAATCACATGGTCTAGTCATTTGGAAATTTGTACCTAATTATGGTGGTGGAAAGGCCTGAACTATTTTCGTTTCATGCCAAAACCATTTTCTAACGGCTGATGGTTTCTGTAGTTTCTTGACCCAGGAAATCCTCTGACTGATACTTATCTAGACTGGGTAGAATTTCACTTGAAGATCAGAGTTGGCCTGGGGGGATTTTGATCTGGTCCCTGGAATAGTAACCCTGGGGAGAAGGGCTTGGCTTTGAGCCGCTGGGGAAAACACGAGCCTGCATTCCTGGTCCTCTGGATGTGGAGGTGGAGAGCTGCCTCTCAGAGAAGGTTCCAGGGCTTTTTGTCTGGCTTGAGAAGTGAGGGCTGTGGAGAGCTGGGCCTCCTTGTGGGATGGGCTTTGGATGCTGTAGGGAAATGGGCCATTCACTTGCTGGGAGGACCATTCTTATTCTAGTCTCTGCAGTCCCACCCCTACCCCACCCCCACCCCTACCCCTTTAGCTTTGCACCTCTGTGGTATTTTGTGGCTGCATTCCTGACCCCCCCACCACCCCCAGCCTCTTGGGGTGGGTCCAAACAGAAAAAGTTGAGATGCACCAGCCTGTCCTCCTGGCTGGTTTCAAATTGCTTCCTATAAAAGTGTCTCCAGAGCTCCTCTGCCTCCTGCCCGGGGAATGCAGAGAGTGGGTACCAGTCTTCTGCTACCTGTCCAAAAGTTTGCCTGGGAAACTTTGGGTGGGGGAGCAAAGTAGGGAGGCCTTGCCCCTTGAGGTGCCTTTTGTGACTTGAACTCCTCCCTAGCTGTGGAAACAGAACTGGTGGAGACCAGCCTCTGGCCTGGTGGTATAGACCCATGTGGACGGTTCTCCGAGAGTAGGTTACCTGGTCTTGAGTTCCTGACATTCTTGCTGCTGGGTCTACGGAAGGCAGAAAAGAGGCTTGGAGTTATCTAGGTGAGCTCCAGGGAGGCCAGCCCCTACCCTGACCTATGGGGGCCCACTTGGAGCATGTAGCTCCTCTCAGTGTGCAGCCTATATGGCCATTTTACAGATGGGGAGACTGAGCAAGGTATTTCCTCCCAGCTTGTGGCTCTTTGCCTGTGGTGCCTGAGCTGGTGGGACTGCTATGCTGCTCATCATCAAGCACTAGGCATCTGGAGGGTGTGTGCAGAGTGAGGGACAGTTGATTTTTTTAATGTGTGGTGGTATAGTGACTGGCGGCCTATCCCACCTGTGTGAAGTGGTAGTGGCAAGGGTCCTTGTTCTCTGAAGTAGCTGGCCTGGCTCTTGGGTGCCATGGAGTATTCCCATCTTGGGTCATTAACTCTCCCCAGGATGATGGGTGGAGGATGTGTACACAGAAGGCAGAGGGAAAGCCTAAGAACAGATTTCAAGGCTCGGCGCCTATAGCTCAACCGGCTAAGGCGCCAGCCAC